GAGAGCACGTCCTTCCAGTATTCGTTGAAGCCCGGGATCATCTCTACATCCGGTCTGAATGTAGGCATCCGATCACCATCAAGTACTGTCGCGGCAGTGTCATTTCTTTGCCGACGGTAGAATCCGTATTGAAGTTGCCGTCGCTGACGGCTGCTTGAGACTGTTACTGCCCGTTGTCCGCGCTTACTGGGCCGCCATGTGTGAGGGAATAGGGTTGATGACATTTTTTTCTACGGCTTTACTAAATTGCAGATCTTCAACAACTATTCGCAAGGTAACTGCACGGTGTCCAGTTTGTGATGAGCATTGTGCCAATGTACCTCTCCCTTCCGTCAGATGACGTTGATAGGCCGCCTAGTCACTTGTGGTCTCTGCAGCTAGGTGCCAGGTATCTAGCGGGCTTCATGTCGTTCTTAGCGTATGATTCATCCAAACCGACCCCCAGATGATTCCTAGTTGCGAGGCGGAGGATAATGATAGACTGGGCGATGGAGCAGCGAGCTGTCGTCAGCCTATGTCTGGGTAACGTATATTGTGTGTGCTGACATTCAGCGTGACTATAGAGTCGTCTTGATACTCACTGAGGTGGTAACCGCACCATGAGAGAGGTGAAATCAGACCTGCGGGGTTCAAATGGAATGGTGAGTGGACCTCCTCGGCCAGAGGATAGTAATGGGAACTTGGCGATTGAGTCAGAAGGAGGTGATGCGGCGTTCGTAATTGAAATAGGTGATCAGTTAGAGAGACGTTCCCTTGCTCTTTTGATGTACCAGCTGAGATATTGCAATCATTTTTAATGCAGTCATTAGATCGGCAGGGAAATCGGATGCGGAGCTGACTGAGCTGATGTGGAATATTGGGGGTAGACGGTGCAATATCCGTGCTACAGGCCAGAAGTGTCTTGTCCTCTAGCGCAGTTCAGTTGCACTTGTGGTGGAATAGCCGCGCCAGAGCTTCTGCGTTGTAGGCATTCAGATGTACTGGACGGTCGTGTAGAGACAAACCACGCCTGCTTTTGAAGGTTTTGACCATTTGAACTCCGTTTAGTTTACGAACACAACAACAACCAGAGGTACCGTTATGTTGGGACGGTGGTAAGCTAGGTGTTGACCGAAGCCTACGCTTGTGGAAAAAGAGCGCGGGCATGAATCACAGTAATGCAGGGGCATGGCATCGGTCATTAAGTCTAGTAAATAGTCCTCTTGCTGTAACTCAGATGACGTGAGCCACTGTTGAGATGGTGCAGCCGTTGATGTTGCTGTAGTGCTATCGGCCGGGGCAGTTGGGTTATCCGGAGAAACAAGAGAATTATGAAATGCTGTGTGACGCGTGGTAGGCGAATGATTCTGAAGGCTGAGATAGACATTTGCAGATGCTGAGTCGTGGATGATTGTTGAACAAGGACCAGCAGGCTTGCTGTCCTGGCATTTCAGAATAGGAGGCGTAGGGCGACAGGCCGAGACCCTCGGCGCGGGTCGTTCATGGGCTGTAATCCGCGGCTGGGGTGCCGGTTGGGATTGGCGTGCGACTGGAGGGATTTCTATTCGCATACTGCTGTTTCCCAGAACAGTGGGAACTTCTGCAAGTGTGGATGGCGTGTTATTGCAGTCCGGCGAATGGTCAGTCGAAAGAGTACACCATGCAGATGACTGCACTGTTGTTGATGCTGAGGTGCCGACTCTTCCTCGTGAAACTCTAGACGTCCGCTTGTTTAACCGAAGCGGTTTACTCCACTTGAGATGTTGCAACCTTCTCCTAATTGTCACTGACATTCTCGTTGGAAAATATCATTGAAGGTAGAGTAACAGGTCCTTCAAAGTTCTCTTTTCGGGCTGCAGCTTGTCGGCTAACCGCATTAATTCTGCATCTTTTTTCGTTGACCAGAAGACACTGCGAATTGCTCTCCTCGATGTCGTGAGGGTGTGGTAGTCTTCGCGGTTTGGCCGTCCGTTTGCATTGTCAGCGCTCTCGCTGAGGTGAAAGTTGGACCGCAGAGAGAACAAGCATTAGGTACTTACTCATCGACACTACGGTGGTTTGAGGGATGTCCCGCATGATATTCCATGTGGCGAGCCGGTCCATCCGCAGTGGTATAGGAGGCACGGCAGATTATGCAGGGGTGCGGAGTGGATGTTGTGGTGGTTAGAGTGGAGATAGCGGGCTGGTGGTTGGAGAAATTTCTCTGTCAAATCCATGGTAAATGTGCTTGACGGAGCGACACGGGTGATCATGGTGCTCGGGCCGGATAAATGCCCCTACGTGAAACGGTCGACGACGTATGCCAATTTCTTTTGAGTCGGAACCTCACTGTGGGCCTTCCTCTGGAGTTCCTGCGAGACTTGATATTGTTGTGCACTGAGAATGTGCGATTCCAGTTTGAAGGGACGGCATACAAACAGATTGACTGCGTCGCTATGGGTAGTCCTTTGGGACCAGTTCTTGCAGATATCTTCTTGGCTATGATTGGAAGGAAAGTTGCTGCCTGCATAGGTGAAGCCAAGCTTTACAAGCGTTATTTAGATGATATTCTCGTCTTCACAATTGGTGAACATTTTGACCGTCTTTCTGCCCTCCTGAACTCAATTCACCCTAACCTTTCTGTATCACATTAGAGGGAACAAGAGGACAGACTGCCGTTTCTGGACGCGCTCATCAAGAGAAGGACCGATGACACATTGCAGCGCACGGTGTACAGAAAAGCGACATGGGGGGGACAATACCTACATTTTTCCAGCTTCGTCCCAGTTGCATACAAGCGCGGCCTCGTATAAACTCTTCTACAGGGTCAGGCGGATTTGCAGTCCGGAATTGCTCAAGGCTGAAGAAGAGTTTTTATACCCGACTTTGCTAGCCAATGGGTATCCGGAGAAATTCATTCAGACCCATAGCAGACCCCCCCCCAAGGAGAAGCTACCAGTACAAACTGCGGAGAAGAAGGATGTTTCTTTGTTCTTACCGTTGAAGGGGATCACTTGGCAAATGAAGTTCGTCCGAAGCTCAGGTCCGTTCTAATGCGCACCTACTCTACCGCCAAACTACGACTTCTCCACACTACACGAAGGATTCCACTCCACAGCCGTCCAAGTAGGTTGCCAATCAGTTCGGCCTCTAACATCATCTACCAGTTCACTTGCAGTTGCGGTAACACTTACATAGGCAAGACTGGTCGCCGGCTTGGTCAAAGGGTGGCGGAACACTTCCCATTGTGGTTAAGGCAGTTGCAGTCTAACCAGGGCGGAGCGAACCAAAGAATGAACCGGAACCCTGCCTCGTCTATCACCAAACACTCATAACGACTCGTCACCAGGTGAACTCATTCGATTCATTCAAGGTGCTATTGCGCGACCGGAACCCGACGTTGTTAGCAATTGGCGAGGCGCTACTGATAAGATTGTATTGTCCCGCGCTCTGTGTCCAGAAACAATTGAAACAATCAATTAGATTACCTTGGACCTCATTACGTCATTCCCATCAGTTTTATCTGCTTATCTATGTTGCTAAATGTGGGTCCTATTTATTGCGTGTTTTGTTCTGCCTGTATTGCGTAGCGACTGACGAGAGCAATCGAAATGTTAACATATCGCGACCTATGTCTTCTTACTGCGTTAATGAAATGTAGATAAAACGATGCTAATTAGGGTAAGAGCAAATACGCGTTCCCTGGTGAACGTTGCATAATGTGGACTAATGCGGACGAAGAATGCTTATCCTGGTCCCTTACACCACCCGAGAAACCATGATAGTACAATGCTTTGGGACTCCGTTCTATAGCATGCAATGCCATGAAATGTGTTAATCAACCGGGCCAAATGCAACTTGAAGGTCTAGAAATGCGACGCTGGTGGACCTCTGATGAATATGGCCGTGTTCGAACAGTTGACTAAGCGGGAAGATTTGGTTCACAGCCGGGACGGAAACTACTTGCGAATCACAGTGTAAGTCAGTGGCTTAAAGGTGATTGAAATGGGATTCCCCCACTGATATTGATGCATGAATTGCGGACAGCTTTCTTGAAATTCGAGCCGATAATTTAATTGTCCTAAGATGGCGAGATGCACTGTTGACCCACATCTGGTTGTGCGGAGTTGGCAAGGTGTACACGCCCTAATTTTTACTGCCTGTTTAACGATGTTAGGTTTGGCATTTGCTCATTCTTCTTTTTTCCCCATTAGTGTGTCGTTTCTTTAGATTTTTGATTGTATGACTGTGAACTGCTGATAGATTAACGACTGCTACCTCAACTATGTGTTGTTGCTACTGCTGGCGATGATAATGTGCACGTTGTTTCATCTGGGATGCACTATCTTTTCCGTTGTTTGCCGAACAATTGCACATATAGTTTCCCCTTACGGTTTTGGTTTCATGTCCTAAGACGATATGTTCGGGTTCCCCTGGTGCGCAATCTTGTCGCATGCCGCACGCTTTCACTCTATGCTTGTGCGAAGGGAGGTTTGCTTAGTTGGATATCTCTTTGTCTAAGGAATGTTCATCCGGACCACCGTACCGTTTTTCTACCGCGATCCAGGTCGTTTGCGTATGTTGTTGACTCTAGCGATCAGCTATCATCTCCACTAGTTGCAATCGTTAGTTCTCTCAGCACTAACGCTTGTTTACTACGAGGTCATGCGCAACATGTCATTCAACAAAGTCGTCACCCTCTTATCTACGACAAATGCTGCGATAGCTCCTAATCAAGATTTCCCGTCTCAACCGCGAAACGTGCTCTTCCCTCTGTTTGACTTAATACATCACTGCCTCTCAAGATTATGATTGTTCAAGTTTATGCTAGAACCTAAAAGCTGTCTCAAAACCCTTCAATCGATTGTACTTTGACCTGTGTTGCCGGTATACTCGCCATTTTCTGAAATGACCATGTTTTTGGTAAGCGAAATATTCCACCGTCTCGGGAGCCTTTTCCCATCGTCTATCATTGTTGCGGAATCTGCGTTAAAGCCTCTGTTCGCCATATTTCACTAGACTTTCTTCAATTTATTTTTCAGGTCTAGAGCGCGTGACCATGTTGTTCCTTGGACTGGATAATATCCGAAAAGCGTCCATGTTTCCGCGTGATCCCAAACGTCTAACTCCGTGATTATTGTCCTTTCCTATTTCGCTATATTAAGTCGAAGCACCTATTCTATTACTCATGGTGATATTTGCCCGTTCCGTATTTTTACCTTAGAAGCTTGGGATCCTCCATCAACTAGCTTGTTTTCTTGATCAAAACCAAAATCGCCAGCGCTCTGTGTATTAAGTGTTAAATTTCGTTTCTTGTCCTTCCTCTAGCTTTTTTTCTCCAAACAATGTCGTATCAAAATCCACTGACTTTCGTAAAAGAGTTTCAGTACTCTGCTAATTTACCACACGTGTCATCTGAGATGACCCATCCCTCTGCACATGAGTCGATGATTCACTAGCGCTCTTCTTGCAAATTTCGAGTTTCCAGTATCAACCAGATGCCAGTGAAGTGCTATAGTTTGGATTATCCGTCTGGGGATTCCTTTCATTGAAGATGGGTTCACTTGTTTAATCTCCTTTGAGTTCTACAGCCGCACTGATTTCGCAATTCATGGTGACTCACCGCGTATTGAATCTCCTAAGCGGACCGGGCCTGTCCTTTAGACTCACATGGTACCTGCTCACTGTTGCCCCAATACGCTCCCCCGGTTCCACAGCTTTACCGTCGGCATAAATATTTTAGAATGGAATCTGCCTATTGCTCACTTAATGAAATTATGATTGTCAAGCTGCGATGCAGTATCATAAGAGGAGTGTCCGTAGCCTCCTGATTCAGGTGTCGTGTGGGTTACTGCAAGCATTCGGCACCTCACCAATACCCGTTATTGTGATATTTTACCTTAGACTTATTGAGCTTGATCACCCAGTCCTTGCGATATTGTAGCGTATGCATGTGTCATTTCATCTAGTTGCCAAATCAGATAGTCGTCCACATGCCCGAAAAAGCAGTAGACTGCAGTTTCAGCGTGTTGGCCCTCGTCAGTAGTGCGCATCCATCGGGTCCATCATTATTCGAACCCATGACCACCAGCGGCTTGAACCGCCAGTCAGTAGGTTATGCCACTGGACCACGGGGAACAGCTTCGGATCGTCATGGCTTACAAGCCAGCTGCACTACTGACGATGCCCAACAGGCTGAAACTGCAGTCTAGTGCTTTTCCGAGCATGCGGACGACTATCTGATTTGGAAGCTAGATGCGAAGAACCTCAATTAATTACAACAAAATCCCCTACTCCTGAGTATATATATATATATATATATATATATATATATATATATATATATATGCCCATTACATTGCTCCGTAGACCCTGACATCCCCTGTGTTCTAGCACTAGGCAAGTAAAGTGTTCATATCTTTCATTGGGACATCTATCCACACCATTATCCCGACCAGTCCACTGAGTCAAAAACACCCATTAAGTCCAGGAACAGCTATTATCGGTCTGCGGTATGCATGGTGTTGTTCTAGCACCTATCGCTGAGTGAATATATCGTCTGTACAGCACCGTCTTAAGCAAAAACCTGACTGCTCTTCCACACTTCGATATTCTCGTTCCACAGCGAGACGACAAACGATGGTTAAGGCCAGTACTTTTGTCACAACTGGCGTTAGGCTAATACCCTTGTGGTTAGCACATTCGGTGCAACTGCCCTTCCCTTCTATTGCCACTATAATCGGTTCATTCCAGGTAGCCGTGACGGTCTCTGTTTTCCAGACATG